ATGTCTGACAAACAAAACAGCTGTGCTTGTTTGAAACTGCTTTGCAGTTTGAAAGGCAAAAGCAATCCCAGAATTAGGGATTCACAAGCACAGGTGTGTTGCTCAAAGGTGGTGACATTTATTACTGGGATATAAAAACATTACCTGAATGTGGGACTGGTCAAAGCAAAAACACCTTCAGGAAAAAATGTTCCAAGGTTCTTCTCTGTTTTAAATCTCAGACTATTTCAAGCTGCTAAAATAAGATGCAAGGCAGTCAGCATTAAGTTTATTTAGGGAAAAAAAATCATCTACTGAAAAATCATTGACCTTCCCTTTTAATTTATTTTTTCAGTCTTGAATTTTCATCAATATTTAGATTTTGGAAATAAAATTCAAGTACTCCTACACATGTAATAAAAAGGGTGTGCATGTACATTTTTATTGCCTCACTACTCATATACATTTTTTCCATTTTCCTGGACCACTTTGCCCCACTTTGTTACCTGAGCCTCAGGTGCTGGGTATAATGGGAAAATGCTTTTATTAGATAGAACCTTCATGCTCAGGGCTTCTTTGCCAGTTCAGCTGCTTGTTCACTAATTTCCTGCTGCAGCAAGTGCATCTTGTGCTTGAAAGACAGTGTGCTAGTGAAGAACATGCTGATCCTACAGATGCTGCTGCAGAAAGACCCAGTTGGAGCAACAGAGCCCATCTTCAAGCAAGGGCTGCTCACGTGGATAAGGATTTGAGACATCAAAGCCCAGAAAGGCTGGTAAGGAGGAGGAAGCTGTTCTATCAGATGCCTGGTAGCTGGAGATAGAAATACACAAGCCAGCTGAACAGGCTGGCTTTTTGGATCATATGCACAGCAGTTGTGCTAAATTGGGTGGTGGTATTTGGAAAGCATAACAGAAAAGACAAGACACATATGGAGGGCTGTAAAACACAGATGCTCAGGAGCAGGATGTCAAGTTGGTTATGTGAAATCCCAGAGGTGTGAACAGCATTCATTCACCATCAAAACCCAAAGTAGACTATCTAAACTTAAAAGTAAGCTTTCAGGTTGACTGTAACACATGATCTGGTGACATAGCCACCACTGAGCGAAGGCAGCTATTGGTTCTTATGCACCATCCTTGCTTCCTATGTTGGAGGCAGGAAAGGACATTTCAGGTTGTTCTTTCCAACGCTCTGATTTTCACCCACCATGTAGCAGAGGACATACTGCAGAGAGCAGCTCAAGGTTGTTTGCTGTGCAGGAATTCACCACAAAAAAAGGCGAGCTGTGAATCCCCACCCCAGAGGTATGTCAGATGTTAATATCTTCTACCATGCTTCATCTTGATTAAGGCATGATGAAATGGGGCCTCGAGTCTCAAACGTGCCAAAGGGTAACCTGATATAAATGTGCAGCTGCACTGATCTCCTAAAAGGGGGTGAGTTGCACATTTTGCAATTAGGGTGAGCTAATTGTATGCACAGAGGCAGTTGCCACAGCTCAGCTGATGGGTGGTAACATATTAAACCACAGTAACATGAGCACTTTGAGTCACGAAACCATACTCAAAGTGTTTGCAGATTCAGAGCCTGAGAAACCATTGCTCTCTGACTTAGAAGCACCATCGTCTTGAAGACAAGGAAAGGGATTGAAAACCTGTGCTGTGCAGTCAGATGCAAGATGACGTTTCCCAAGGGATTCTTAAATTTCTAGCCAGAATTTCAAAGAATTTAACAATGTTTTCTTTTTAAATGACCTTGACTAAAAATATTCATTTTAAGTGGGAATGTTTGGGAAAGAAAGAGTTCTGGAAATTTTCAGCATAAACAGTGATTCTCATAAAATAACATGGAGAGTAATATTCAGAAGACTGAAATTTCCCCTAAGTCTCTGGGTTTTGTGCTTCTTACCTGCTAGGGAACTCTTCAGGCCTAGAGCCACCCATTAGGAAACCTGTCCAATTTGGTGGAACTGTGAATGGACTTTTTTTAATTTTTATTCAGATGTAACGTACTTTTAATATATAGCACTTGCTAGTTTCTTAGAAGCCTGAAGAGAAAATTACCTGCCAAATACTTTTATACCTCTGTACTTGGTCATTAATTTTGTGCGCACATGCATGCAGCTGAGCAAAGAGTGTTGAAATCAGCCTGATGGGTTTTTTCAGAGCTTTCCAATGCCAACCACGTCAGCAGCCCTGATGATGTCTCTCTGATGAGAGCTTGATAGCATAGCTCTAATTCTGGCTGTAGGAAATCCAGTGGGATTTTGCTTTTGCTCTTCTTCAGATCAGGACTGCCATGTATTGGAGTAGATGAAAGTGATGGGTGCGGAGAGTTCTTGTGAAAGCTTTTCTTTTCAATGATTTTTTAATAGTACTGAAGATAAAAATGTTAGTGTTCAGGCCTAATGCCCTGCTGAAGGAACACAAGCACTGGAATATAGTGCTTGTGCACAAGAGCACGAAGAAGTAGAAACAACTGTAGAAATCCAGAATGTGGCTTGCCCAAATGTTGGCTCAGTTTTGGTGGCTCGGGGTTCTAGCTGGTGGCTGTCACTCCAAAGCAGGGTGATGGCAGCCCTTTGTGGAGCATACAGAATCACAGAATCACAGAATCACCCGGGTTGGAAGGGACCCCAAGGATCATGTAGTTCCAACCCCCCTGCCTGGCAGGGCCACCAAACATACACATTCAGATCAGGTTGCCCAGGACCCCGTCCAACCTGGCCTTAAACACGTCCAAGGACGGGGCATCCACAACCTCCCTGGGCAGCCCGTTCCAGGGCCTAACCACTCTCCTAGTAAAGAACTTCCCCCTAACATCCAACCTAAATCTTCCCTCCTTCAACTTAAAACCATTTCCCCTAGTCCTGCTGTTGTCAGCCCTTTTGAAGAGTTTACTCCCCTCCTGGGTGTAGGTTCCCTTCAGGTATTGATAGGCTGCAATGAGGTCACCCCGCAGCCTTCTCTTCTCCAAGCTGAACAAGCCCAACTCCCTCAGCCTGTCCTCATAGGGGAGGTGCTCCAGCCCCCTGATCATCTTCGTCGCCCTCCTCTGGACCCTTTCCAAAATCTCAATGTCTTTCTTGTACTGGGGGCTCCACACCTGGACACAGTACTCCAGATGGGGCCTCACAAGAGCCGAGTAGAGAGGGACAATCACCTCCCTGTCCCTGCTGACCACCCCTCTCCTGATGGAGCCCAGGATCCCATTTGCCTTTCGAGCTGCCAGAGCGCAGCATAGGGAAGGAGGACCTCAGGGTTGGAACTGTCTTCATTTGGAGTCCTTCCCCCAGCATCTCTGTTGCCCATGAATCTCTCCTCTGAGGGATCAACATGAGGAAAATGGTCTCAAGGCTCATTTCACAAGACTTTTTCAGACTTCTGTCCCTTTCTGTGAAGAATGGTGTCAGTGACAGCAGATACATGTTCACCAATACTGATGTGGGGATGCAGGTAATACCTTTGTATAAATGCAGCCTTGAGCTTGGTTTGTTTGCTTCTTGCTTTTGGGCTCACAGTTGCCCTGGAAATCACATTTCAGCAAACACTGCTGAAACCCTCTTTCCCATTTCCTTTGGGGGATGGAGTCACATTTAAAAGAGGGAAAAAAAGAAAAAAAAAAAAAAGAAAAAAAAAAAAGAGAGGTATCTTGTTCTGACCCAATCTTTATGGTTTTTCTTCCCATTACTAAATGAATTCCAAGCTGTGGCATACCCCAGAATTTCAACTTAGGGCAGTTTTCTGCACTCACACTAAGAACCAGTGAATAAGTGTTTCGAGGTAGCCTCAATTATAGCTTTGAGAATGAAAGATACCAGTGTAACATTTAAAGTGTGAACATAAAATATGGCAAATCAATCGGAATATGGAAGCACACTCGGAAAGTATTCAGCTGATGATGTTTGTTATCACACATAAATAAAATAAAATAAAATAAAATAAAATAAAATAAAATAAAATAAAATAAAATAAAATAAAATAAAATAGAGAAAGAAAAAAAAATGACATGTGGAAATTCACTCCTCCAGCCAATGGAAAGAGATACTTTTCTATCTCATGGTCTACAAAATTCCCTCACCTACTACCCAAATCACAGTTAAAAGGAGCTTAATTTATCCCTTAAAAAGAAAAAAAAAAAAAAAAAAAAAGGTTTTACAAGCCGTTATTCCTACTCAGCAATCACACAGACATTAAATCTTATTGCAAAAAAGAGGGGGGGAATGCCTCTTTTCAGCATTACAGCTGCAGCTGTTTGACAGAAGTAAGTGACTTCATAAACCCTCCTGATTTGGCAGTAGGAGAGCAGAATTTTATGCTGTCTGCTACGCAGTCACAGGGGCTGAGAAAGCTCTGCAAAGCAATCTTCACAAATGTTTCACCTCAGTTTATAAATACCTTTGCTTCACTGTGTTAATGCCTCTTTTGCTTTGCTTTCCATTCACTTCCACTGGATCATCTACCAAGGCCTTTTATTGCTTTAAAGCAATTGATCCCACAGGTCTCACATATTTTTTCTTCTCTTTTTCTTTACTCAGTGGAAGATATCACACCTTCACCTTTCCATTGATTTGTTGGCTGACTATAGTAAAATGTAATAAAGATTTAGCAGGCTGTCTTTATTTGCAGTGTAATCAGGCTGTATACCTCCTCTTGAAGTGGTCCATGCTCATACACCATATTTTCTCTGTCTCTATCAAGCTTCCACTCCATAAAGAATTACTTGCAAACTTATTTTCCTGAGATGCGATGAAAATATAAAGATTTCTGATGGTTGTTGTATCAGCCTCTATCGTTCTGTCTTCATTTTGAAACCTTACTATTTAAGAATTTGTTCCTGTTCCTCCAGAGAAACTTCTGGAGATGTTCCCAGCTCCCATTTATATGACTTTGGTATGAGTTTGATATGGGAAAGTTGTTCAATACTTTACAGCAATATCATCTCCATTGGGAAGTCTCCACTAATGTAAAGTCAGCGGGAACTCTTGCTACAGTAACATCTCCAGGATTCACCTTTCAAGTTATCTGTGATTTTTACAGAACTATTACAGCTCATGTGCAATACTCGTTCCTTGGCCAGTCTGCTGTTTCACATTGCCAGGAGATTTTGCAGGATTTGTCTCAGAGCAGATCGGACTGGGATATAGGATTCTGAGGGGAAAACTGCCAGTGAACAAATATGCTTCTCGATGATCATCTTCAGACACTGGTGTGCTTCATGCAAGTCTTTCTCAAATTGCTGTCCCTCTCTTTGTAAAGCCATGTGAGTACAGATGTTTCTAAACTCAATGCTATCCTAAAAATAAAAGCAAAAAGAAGTGGGTGAAAAATAATGCTCCCCTGAGTTTTCCAGGCATGATTTTCTTGACAGAAACTTCCTAACTATGCACGTTCATCTCTGATTTAGTGTGAAACATCTTTAGTTTTGAGACACATGTAGTGTAACCACTAAATACTGCTGCAAACTCACTTGGCAGAAATCCTCGGGTAGCTGTTTCACCTATTCACTTTTAAGGGTCATTTGCCTTCCCCAGGCATCAGTGATTATGTTTTTTAATTCTGTTTCTATCAGACAGAGCTTTAGTAGCTGTTCTCAGCAATTCAACTTCCCCTACACTGACAGGCAAGGGTAGGATCTCAGGAAAATGTTATATCCAGACATCTCTTGAGAGCTCCCAATGGCCCCCAAAGGCACAATGTGACAGGAGTCCTCTGAAACACCATTTCTGTGTGGTGTCCTTCATCTCATCTGTGAGGTGACTGGGATTGCCAGTGAGGCAGGATACCCTGACAGCTCTGCTGGTTGTGCACCATGATGAAACATGAGGACTCCCCAGTCCCTCTGATGTAGCAAGATATGGAGCTGAGAAGTGCTTTGATAACAACTACACTGCTGGGGCAAATGCATTTCTTAACCCATTCCAGGCAACCTCACAAACTGCAACTCGTAGAATGTTCTGCCTGCTGGTTTCTCCTGAAAGATCAGTAGTGCTGCTGGCTGTGGGTCCTTGTCTTGCAGGGGCAACCAGTGCTAGATCATCTCACTCTATATCAGAGATGAATGTGCATAGTTAGAAAGTTTTTGCCTGCCACTGAGCTGGGCCAATGTAGCTTGCGAGCACATCTACTAAAAGAAGCACATCCCTCTCCATCCCCATCCGCTCCTACCTCTGCCTAAGAAGGTGAATGAAGCAGGTGGTAGAAGCAGAGTTTTAACTCACAATAGTTCCCCAACCTGGTTTGCTCATGTCAGCATGAAGAGAGGAGTACCTCAACAGTGGGAAGGCACATTTGGGTGTGAAAAGGACAAAACATCTTCAGGCAGTAAGATCAACCTCTGCCAGCCTAAAATGGATAAGCACATGTGGTCTCAGTCAGAGCCTCTGCCTTCCCAAAGTCCCCCACACAATGAACTCATCTAGATAAACTGCAAGGAACAGAGGAGCCTTCTCCCACAGCTTATGTCACACACCAGATTTTGGCACCTCTTACCTTCTACACTTGATGTATTTACTCTTCTAGTTAGTGGCAGCTTGTGCTTTTAGCTGAGAGGAAATTGAGTTTTAGAGTTATTCTTAAAAGCATGCAGGTTTAGACTTATTGTGGGTTTTGCCTTTGTTATTAAAAGAAACAAAGAAATCAGCTTTTAAAAATCCCTGTCACCCAGACAATCCCAGCTTCATAATGGTAACAGCAAAAAGGATTTGCAGTTGAGGAATTGAAATGTGGGTTAACATTGAAAACAGTGCTGTATGGTTACTCCAGCCAGCAAGCAGAAGGCATTCAGTGTGGAAATTTCTGAACTAGCCATCCGATACCATTCTTGGGCCCTTAGGTATTGTACAATAGCAGTTGTGGGTCTGCTGTGAGCAAGGTGAACTCATCGCTCTGGCACGCCCCGTGCTGAAATCCAGGGAGTCCTGAGTCAGGAGGTTAGCTGAAAAGCAGCCTTTTTCACATATATTTCCAAAGTTTCCTTTTTCAGAAAGATTTTGATGTTTCCTTTGAAGGTCACCTTTCAAATCTGTTCTGTAAAGTTGCCTTAGGTATAAAATCCTTACTCAAATATATTAAGAGGTCAAATAAATTGCGCTAAGTAAACAAGCTCGCTTTGCTCGCTTTCGCAGGTGTCCAGCACATGGGAGCTTTAGGATACATGACAGGGAATAAAAACTTGACTTATCTCACCTTTCAATAGAAGTAGATCATAACTAACTGGAGCAAAAGTTTCAGACCAAAAATTCTTTCCGTTTTAACTTCAGGAAGCAGGACCCTTGTGAGCTGAACTGATAGCGAGCAGCAGTTCATGTGGTATTTTGCCATTTAAGAGATGCTAACAAGAATATCTGCAGTGATTTGAAGTGTTTTCAATTGCAGGACAGGAGCAGATACTCCCTGCAGTTTTCATTTGTCAAGATCCATATGTTTAGACAGATGAGTTAATAAAGAACCTCCCCCAGAATAAAAACATCATGGCCTACTAATTTCAAGGCTCTCTAATTTATGGCTTAAAATTTTCCACTGCTCTGAGTTTGTTTCATGCAGTTGTCACTCAGTGGTAGGCTGAAGTTTCAGGATGTTTCTGATGGCCCAGCTTTTATTTTTGAACCTTAATGTAAAATTGATACTATCCACAAACTTGCTTCAAGTGTATGAAGAGCCGCTTTTATAAAGGCTCCTTTAGAAAAGATACAAACTGCTTGCTTCCATCTTTTATTTTACTCTGAAACGCCGACCTGACCCATCAAACATATTCCTACAGCTGGCTTTAACAGACAGCTGCCTTTTCCTTTTGCACGCTCAAATTTTTGACTCTGGCCCACTGCCAACCCTCAACATTTTTTCCTTAATCTCCATACGCCCTTGTAGACAAAATTTCCACTGAGGGCAGACTGGCAGTAGTGCTGCCCTGGTCCAGGTGCTGGATGCTCTCCATGGTCAGCAGACCAAAATCTGGGAGTTAGGGTGGGAAGTGCCAGAACTCCTGATGCCCAATCCTGGTAACTCAGTGCCTCCACCCCCACTGACCTATTTTATATTTTTCTAGAATATTTTCTCAGCATAGGTCAACCTCTGGACGAATAAAATGCTCATTTTGAAAGTAATGTGAAAGTCAGGGACAGTTTCCTCCTGGAGGTTCTTCATGTGGTCAGTGGGGAGAACAGGAAGAGTTTACCAGACCCAGCTTAGATGCCCATTTTAGAATGAACTGAAAAAGGAATTGCCTCCTTCTCTCTGATGATTCTAAAGGGAAAGCGGCTTGGGCTGCTCATGCACAGCTAAGATGCCATGAAAACTTCATGGGGTAGATGAAGGGTGAATGATCTGTAGCATAAGTTCTATGAGAAGCAGCTGAGCAAGTAGGGACTGTTTAGTCCAGAGTAGAGGAGGCTCAGGTGAGATCTTATTGCTCTCCACAAAACCCTGAAAGGAGGATGTGACAAGGCAGGGTTTGGCCTCTTCTCCCAGTCAACAGCGATAGGATAAGTTGATAGCCTTAAGTTGCACCAGGGAAGGTTCAGGTTGGATATTAGGAAACATTTCTTCATGGAAAGAGCAGTGAGGCTGTGGCACAGGCTGCCCAGGGAGATGGTGGAGTCACCATCCCTGGACGTGTTAAGATCTAATATAGCTGTGGCACTGAGGGACACGGTCAGTGGGCATGGTGGGGATGGGCTGATGGTTGGACTGGATGATGTTAGAGGTCTTTCCCAATCTTAACAATTCTATGGTTCTATGAGCCCCACCTCCCGTCGTTACCCGTCTCTCATTTTCTAAAACTATTGCAGTTGGAAGAGTTTTCCTAAGCCATGTACCATCAAAAAATGCTGGAGTTGTTAATAATTTCTCGTAAAGTTTCTATTTCTGAAGAAAAAATAATCCCACAATCCCCTAGTGTAGTTCATTCTGCGGTTTGCTGTTGTAAAGACTCTTTCTAACACAGCAGGTGCAGATGCATGCGGCGTGCAGCACTATCGTATTAATAAAATTGAACTGCATAAGCATATTTCCTCTGAGCTTCCAGAAAGATCTTGGAGGCAATTCTTCACTTGAAATACTTCAGATCGCTCATTTGTCAGTATTTAAAAAAAATATCCACAGAAACAAGTATTAATGCCTACAGCTTGCAAATAACTTTATGGAGGGTGAAGCAATCTTTTCCAGGATCAGCCTTCATATCAATTACTTTAAAAAATGAGTGCTCAAAGCTATTAGGTCCAGGAACAACTTCATAATATCAGTGGCTGCAAAATGAGAAACGTGCATGCTGGCACATTTGTTCAATCCGTGGTGGCGAACGAGAAATCTGCTGCTGTTTTATGCGAATTCTAATGAAAGCAATTTATCTCGTTTCCGTCACCCCTAAGCCATTATTTATGAATCAGTCTTCAGATCTCTCACAGAGGGAAGAACTAGTCACTTTGGCAATGAGAACCCATCTCCAATTTGTTTCAGGAAATCAGCAACCAGAAAACAAGCTTGTTAAGTACCAATAGAAGTGTCACTGAGGAACAGCCATCCCTTCCATATTCCTCCCACAAAACGTACAGATCCCCTAGGTGAAGAGGCCTTTCCTTGTGCTGTGCCTTTGCTGGCTGTCCCACGGGAAGCAGGCTATCTCTTGGTCTCCAGTTCACACGGCCAAAGTCAGCGATGCCTGATTTTGTGCCATTGTTTGGCCTGCAGTGGACTAGTGGTTTCTCTTTTATCTAAATAGATGGGTCTAAATAGAGTAGGAAAACAGAACAAATGACTGGCACTGCTGCTTGTCTTTGTGCTACTGCTCAAGCCCTGGTGAAGTGACTTGCTCCCTGTATGAATGGACTCAGCAGCTGCACTATTTCACCTCACTGGGAGATACAGGGCAAGGGACCTATGGTAAATTTGCACCTCTGCTGATGCTACTTTCGATCCCCACCTTCTTCCCCCTCAGCCAGCAGAGCAGCAATATAGCAGCACATGGGCGGGAGAAGCTTGCACAGTCAGAAGTTTTTTTTTATTATCCCACCCTGCCAATCTGGCACCTTTTAGGGACAGTGTTTTCTTTTCCCCTTTAAAGAAAATACCATGACTGTTTTGCAAATGGGACGGCTATTTTAACTTCTTAATATGATTTATATTCCACTCCCTGCTGGCTGCCATTGAGATTGGCCCAGTCCAGTCCGCTCCACATTTCTGATTTAGTACCGTTTGAACGACCCTTCGGTAACTCCAGCAAAGGAGACAGGATGTTATCAAAAAGCTGGAGTAATGCATAGCTGCACCTGAGCACAGCCAGGGCAAGCCACACACTGCTATTTTGGGAAGGTTTTCTACCTTTTATTTTTCCTTTTCAAATGCACTCAAATTGCTGCTTAAAATACAGAATCTCTCACTCTGTTAAAAAAAGGCCGTTCTGTTCACCTTGGCAGTGTGTAATTACGGGAGAGAGAAAATGTGGTGGTTATTACAGGGCGTCTTTGTGAAGGCATTAGGCACTAGGAGTTTGCCTGTGGGTGCTGATGCCAACAAACAGCCAGGTGGGCAACGGGATGATGCAGCCATCTGGATCCTGAGGAGAGGGGAAAGGGGCCCCTTGCCCGTCCCATCTTCAGACACACCATTTGGCTAAGCAAACTTTGTGGCCTTACTGCATACAAAATCTGTGATTACGTGCTCACAGTCACTGGCAAAAGACTTGCTCCAAATTCCTGCAAATGTGTCACTTTTCATCAGAAATTAACACATGGTATTAATTGCTGAGGAACTGTACTGTCTAACATACAGTGGAACTCAGCAGAGCGTATTACCAGTACTAACAGGCAATGAACTGCTTAAGTTTTGTCATTCCATTCCTTGAGTCTAAATTTTTTCTAATCCTTTGTCTATCTATTTTGGTGCCATTGTATAGAGTAACTTTTTATCAGTTCAGCTGATAAACCAGTACCAATACTTTAAAAAGAAACCAAGGAATAGACACGGAATAATTGAGAAACAAGAAAGTCAGGATTGCCAAGAAAGACCAGAAAGATTTAAATATACCAAGAAATGACAAGTACCAAATGCTGACCATGTGTGATTGTCTCTGGGCCATAAAACCAGAGTCTTCCTTCAAAAACAGTGAGTGGAAGGATATGTTACCAAGGGCTGGCATCTTGAAGGGATTTTGGCCAACTCATTGGGCAAGAGCTTATTTATAAGGGTTTGTTCATGTGAATTTATGCAGAGGTTGTAATATAAATGGATCCCTTGAAATCCAATTTGCTTCAAAATCAAATCTGCAACAGTGAAATTGCTTGCAGCTAAAAGGGTCAGTTATCCATGACACAGAGTCTGTAGAAACCTAACACAGAATTTATGTAACCTTCCTGTAAAAGGGAAGGGGGAAAAAGTCCCAGAGCTCAATGGGTCATGATAATGGGTTTTCAGTGAAGAAAAAAAAAACTAACTTAGCTTCAATTGCAATAGGAAAATCAGAATCCAAAGTAAACTATATTCCCAGTGGTATCTGAACACATACTTTCACACAAGTAATATTAAGGTAGTTCTGGGAAAGAAGAGGAAGAAAATAAAACCTTCCTTGAGATGGCTGTATTTCATCAAACCAACATTTGTTTGTACAAAAATAAATGGCTTTTTTTTTTTTTTTTTAAATTTTAATTACAAGCAATGAAGCAGTCTTGCTGTAGAATTAGTATCACATAAGTACAAACTATCCCAGCACTCTCATTTTTGAAATGTGTTATCTAACAATTTTGGCTGATTTTTGACACACTTGTGGATACCTTCCATTATTACCCCTACCACCTCTAGGCAATTTGGATCCAAATCTTCAAAATTTGCTTCTGACTCTTGGTGATTGCATTAATGAGCGAGTTGTATCTTGACTTGAGATAACTTGGATGCAATTTTTCACAAACTGTGAACAATCACAAAGCTAGTCAGACCCAGCACACTGGTCTAGCACCTGTGAAAACAGCATCTTGCAATATCTGAAATTCATCAGCGGTATACTGAGAAACCCAAAATCATAGTTGTTGCTTTTTTTCCCCACAAAAAATTAACCATCATATCAGAATTTGAGGCTAATTCTTTGCTTCTTCCCTATTCTTCATCTTCCCATACTGTGCTGGTCCACTCTGGGAAGATTGGTATAAAGGAAAAAGAGCAGATTTTAATTGTATCTCAAGTGGCCTGACGATTGGTGACAACTACTAATAGAGTTTCTGTGGTATGCATCATTGCTACTAAGAGCTGATTAATAAACTGCACTCTTGTTTTACGTGGTACACCTAAGACTCATCCTAAGGTAAGTTTTGAGGCAATGCCCATGTCATCTGACTTAGACATATCTGACTGCTTAACCAACACCTAAAACCACGACTTGCAAGCTCGTGTCTAAACTTTTTCTTAATTTTCCTTATAGGTTAATAATCATGCATAAAAATGCATAATCACTGCACTTATTGGAAAATTGAAGATTTTTTCAGGAAAATGTTTGTTGGGTCTCATATGCTGGACGTATGGTGTACTACTATGCTATGGGCTCTGCTGGGCACAGTCACATTTCATTTGTAGGTTACTGGTCATCTTTGCATCTTGTTGTTGTCTCATTTAGGGAAATTTATGCGTACAAAGCTAACTTTTGGAAGATCTCTGAGTAATCTTTCCAGGCTACTCTGTGTGAAAACAAACCTATATTCTACCAAAAATGTTTTTATCCCACGAATCATTATGATGCAACTACACTGAACCATCAGTAGCTTATTAACAGTATTGCAGGCTATAGGCTAAATGAAAATTAGTGGACATGAAACAATTTCAGCCCACAGGACAAAACCCAGCACATGCAGTTATCAGCACAGTCAGCAGCTCTGCTGCAAAAAGCTCAAAAAAGGAGTTAGTGGTTTTGTCCCTTACTTACTTTTGGGTGGAGAGGAAAAGGGTGCTGCTGTACAAGGGGGAGCAGGAAGGTCTGCTCTGCTGTTACAAGCCGGGTGGTTGCATCAACTACTCGGGACAGCTTGCTGCACAGAGCCTTCTCTCTCAGCGTCTCAGGCCTCCTCAACCTGAGCTGCAACTGCTGCTGTGGCTGGGGCTCCTCTAGGCTGACGGGAGTTAGGCCTCCACCCTCCTCTTCTTCCTCAGGACTTTTCCCCGGGGCTTTTCTCTCTGCTTTCTCCAGCTCCCAGACCCAGCCAAGCCCAGCCACCTCTGTTTTCCCTCCTGAGCTGGGCCAGGCTGAGCTATGCCGGCTGGTGCCATCACTCTGGACCTGGGAAGGCTGTGGGAGGATGCAGGGAGGGTGGGTAGCTGCACCATCTTCCCTGCCTCCCCACACTGCCCGGAGTGTGCGGAGAGCCTCTGCCTGGTGCCCGAGAGACTTGAGCAGAGCAGCCGGGCCAGCCATCAGCCTCCCCTCCCAACACAGGCCTGACTGCAGCCTCTTAAGCCCTGTTGTTCCCCTTCCCTCCTCCGTATCTCTCACCCCGTGGTGGGTGGCCGCTCACCCTGCCCTGCCCCAGGCTTATTTTGGCAGATTTGGGGGAGGTTTGCACACCCCCATCTGGGTGCAGAGCAGGGCGCGGTGCAAATCTCTCCACTGTTCTCACTGGGACCTGCCTTGCCAGGCCTGGCCAGTGCAAGGTGCAGCCTCAGCCCTGTGAGGGCAGCTTTATAAAGCCGGGTGCTGAAGGATTTTACAACGTGCTTCCATGAGTAATTTAAAAGGGGAGCAAGGAATAATTTCCTTCCAAACCCCTCCCAGCTTTAGGGATCATCAGTGTGGAGCTGTTGGAGGCTCCTGCACCTCCAAGTGACACCAACTGCTGAAATGCCCAGCCAGCATTTCCATCAGAACTTCTCAGCCTACCTTAGTTTTATTGCTATTATTACTCACAACCCTGAAATGCATCAAATGCATCCAAACTTGTCAGTCTGACAGTGCTGCATTTGGCACACGGGGGGAAAAAAACTCAAGTAGGAAAACAGTGGATTGGAAATGGTAAGGCTGAATGAGCCCCACCTGAAATAACTCCAAAAAAAGGCATTACTGGCTTTGGCAAGTCAGCCAGAAGGATCCTATATGTTTTTGTATATGGTTCCCAGAGGATTTAAAACTGTAAGATTTGATGCTAAACCTATTTCTGTGCTGTGAAACCAGGGACAGCTGTACAAATATTTGCTGTTTTTAATTAAACCTAACATTGCTACTTCCTTGATTTAAGTTAGGTCAAAGGACTGGCAATTTTATGCTTTGATAGATGAAGAAAAACAGTTGTGGGTGTTGCGTTTTAGAAATATGTTATAAAATAAGAAGTCTGAGGGAAAAGGCCGCAGAGGCTATAATAGCTCTGCCCTTGTGCTTTCTTCTCAGAGATGTTTTCCTTGTCAAATATTTTGCCTTATCCATATAGCAACTGTTTCTACTGTAATTCTGCTCATTATTTTTCCTTGAAAGACGTTTTTCTAAACTTTCCAATTGCTCTCAAGTTATATTTTAGGTAGCGTTCTCACAGCAATGTATTCTTTATAGATTTAAATTAATTTGCTTTGCTGGGAGGAGATGAGGAGGGACGTATCTGACCACACTCTCTTTGGACTTCTATACATTGTCTAAATCCCTCAGCAGAGTATCTGACAGCAATTCCCTTTGGAGAATCTCCCACCTCCACTTCTGCTTCTCGGAGTCCGGTTTCCTGTCTCTTCGAAAATCAAGTAGATCAATCCCATCTCAAGGCTAACAATAAAGTAAATCAGCTTGGAGGTCTATTTATTGCTCATCAGAGCACCAGCTTGGGAAGAGCAGGTGGAAAATTTTCCTTTCAGCTGCATGGCTGGTTTACTGCTTGTCCTGAGATTGTCCTGTCACCCACTCTTCTGCTATGGGAAACAATGATCAGCAGTAACATGCTTTGGATCCGGTATAGAACAAGAGCTAGGTTTTCAAGTTCCTCAAGCTTTTAAAAAAGAAAAAAGGCTATTTAGAATTAAGCAGAATTTCCACCAGAATAATTTGTTCTGTGAAAAAAACAGAAACAACAACAAAAAAAAATTCATCAATATGCACTGTCTGTTGGAAAACATCAATTTTCAACAATTTCCTGTTTAAAAATTCAGGGAAAAGCTTCTAGAAAGTCAAAGCAATTTTTTTTTTTCAGTCTGCATTTAAGGCAAGATAGATAAAAAAAAATCACCAACAAGATGTTAAGTGTTTTGCTAGTGTCACTGCGTTAAGTGAAATCAGTATTATAGGGCTTAAAGACACTACAGTATAATTTCAGTGAAGTTCTTTGTTAGTATTATTAGTGCTAGTGTATTATATTACTACTACCAGCAGTTTTATGTTAGTATTAGTATTGATTTCAAAAGATATTTTGCTTCTTTCCTAAAAGTTTACACTTCACCCATTAGTTAGGATTCACAACATTGCAGGACCCACAGCAGGCCATCAAGCTGAACAGCTGTGATTGAGGTAGAAGTGTGAAAGCTGTTAGAAGTGATTAAAAGTACCCGTGAAAGAGAGTGGAGAAGAACTGGCCAATGTGCTGTTTATCATCTTGCTCACTTCCTAAATTCTAGAAATATGATCATCTTAGTGGTCCAAACTTTTGGGGTGGATTAACATTTTATAACCCCCTTTTTTTGGTACTAAAATATACAGAAACTTTAAACTTTTTAACAAGACCTAATCAGGAATTTTTTAAGAGAAACATTATACAGACACAATTGCAAAAATGAGAAGTGGAAGTCTGTCTTTATTTCCAACATCTGCTTCCCTGTCTGCTCATTGTTTATCTATCTACCATGTGGAGCCCTGAAGATATTGAGCCATCCATCAAGCAGAGAGTAAACCAAGAGGAGATATATCATAACTTAATGTTAAAGAAATCATATGCTGTGACATCTACCTTCATTACTGCTAGTACCTCTCACCTCATAAGTAAAACCATGGCAGAATGGGTCTGTTATCTGCCTTTAAAAGGGTTTGGGTGTGTATCCATAAATCCAAAGGTGCTCTTCTTGCCATTAATGCTGGCCCATCTGCTTTACAGAGTATATCTGAAAGGGCAGAAATGGATGTAGAATCTTTCCCCCCATTCCAATACATATAAGGGAAAGCCAAGTTTGTTCCTACTGTACTTCTGCTATAATTGAATGTATTTTAACAGTCAATGAGCTTTTCTCAATGAGTTAACCATCCTTTCAGAAAAATAAGATGAATAGATGCTTATTTTAATCTGGCAGCACTTTGAGCAAATACAGCATTTTTTCTGTCTCATATAGCTCAAGGCTAAAACCAAAAGAGTAAGAAAACTCTTCCCCTTCCCAACCCCGTTCAAAATGAAAGTCAAGGTTTTGCGGGATTCAGCACAATCCATGGGATTTATGTTGCACCTGTTGAATTCTCACAAGAAATATCAATTAAAACATTGTGACTTTGGAAGGAGCATAGGAAATCTATGGGGAGACTCGAGCTCCATGGATTTTCTGCACCTGCAGCTGTCCCGCCTCGGTGCCTCTTCCAGTAAGGGGGGCTATCGGGCCAGTGCCACGCACTGCTCCATTTCCATCACTGCAGGGGGAGAAGCCCATTTCCCTGAGCTGCGCCTTGCTTGCTCTCTCTTGTTTGAGTTGGCACCTGCTGACCGTATCTGGACGATGAAGCCTTCCAGGCACAGCACTGGAGCATTTGGTCACACAGCTCTGGGACACTGTGCGGTGGATGCAGCCAGCACTTGTGTTGAGCATCAGGGCTGCAAGAGAGGAACAGAAGGCTAAGACATTATAGTTCAAAACAAAAAAATCAAACCTATTATCATTTTTAACAGTTTGAGTGGCAGTGAATTTGTAAGCCTTTGTCCCTGGCTCATTTTAGTGGGATTCATCAGGAGAATGGTTGGTTTTGCATTACTGCTGGTTATTGCTGTTGCAGTTCACTAGTGAGATGGCCCTGGCAGTGCAGGAGCATAGAACACATGGGCTCTTTCAGAAGAAAGCATGTGTCCAGCAAATATCTACATATGTTCCTAGATGTTGATCTAATTTGGACTCTATTAGGATATCCTTATCACATCTTCTTTCCTTCTCCTTCTCCTTCTCCTTCTCCTTCTCCTTCTCCTTCTCCTTCTCCTTCTCCTTCTCCTTCTCCTTCTCCTTCTCCTTCTCCTTCTCCTTCTCCTTCTCCTTCTCCTTCTCCTTCTCCTTCTCCTTCTCCTGTCTTCAAGAAATTTATTATTGCTGCCCCAGCATGAAAATGCTGAGGGCTGTTTTGCTGCTGCATACTGTCCATGGGCACAAGCACCATGAGTGTTTAGGCAGAGAAATACATGGACACTGGATATTGTTGGAGCTTAATGAGAAAGGCAATCAAGAAAGTTTCCTGAGCAATTGCAGATGCACAGTAAACTATCAGATGCATTGTGGATAACAAGCAGAGATTTTCTGAGGTGCAGTTCTGAATGTATATGAATGAATTCTGCTATTTAAGTGTCAAATGCTTTGGCTGCATCTTGAACCTAAGAACAGCTGTGCTGGTTTGCATCACTGCACCCTAAACTTATATTCTGTCTCCCAAAACAGCAGGTGATACATCCAGTGCTTTCCTCTAGGCTGATCCCCAGCATTTGGGGTGTACTCACACTGCAACAACCCCTAGCCAGGCCACTGGTCTGCCTGAATTGTGACAAGGGGCAACCACATTCCTGGCGTCCCCCAGAGAAAAGGGAAACTGGCCACAAGGATATGCCTGTTGGTGAATGAGAAAAGGCAAGTAAGTCATCAGAGCCTCTGTCTATTCTCAGGAGGGATATTTTCTGTGCCTCTGATTTGTTTTGTTTTGTCTGTTTGTTTACTTCGTTTAGTAACCCACAGTTACTCTTCAAGTGCTTATCCACTCTCCCTTTTAACCCACCTAAAATTGTTGGAGCCACAATGCCTTTGGCAGCTGTCTTTGCATACTTATTGCTTGAAGAATTACTTCTCCTTTGTTTTCAGCCCGGCTTCTTTGTGGCCCATCATTCTTGTAATGGAAGCAGCAAGTGAGTTGCTTCTCCATGAAGCTATGACTTTGCAGGTCTCTACCATATTACCCCTGTTCCAGGCTGGAGAACTCAGGACGACACAGTCATGGAAGACATTTAATACTTTTGATCATCCCTGCTGCTCTTCTTTGAGCTTTGACATCCTGAGGAGACCAGAAGATCAGACAGGATTCAAGGAGAAGGTGAACCCTGGATTTAAAGACATTCACTGTAAAAAGAGCCCTTAAGGAGCTCCTTTCTAGCCTCCTCCCCTTCTCTACTGCAGGATACTGCCTTCACAGAGCACCATCCCTCTTCCTGAAAGCATAGAGTCCATGCAGACCACTTACAAAATGCCAAACATCTGACTTAACAGGGGCAGCTTAGCAGTGGTGTGGCAGAGATGACCCACGTGGCCCATTCTGCTGGCTTGGGGCTCTGCAGCCAAAAGCTGAGTTCAGCAACTGAGCCTATAAACCAGCTGGGCACTGCAGCAGTGCCACCAGGATGGCTCCTCCTGTGGCCAACATTTGACTGGACTTCAGCGTATGTTCCTAGGATACAAAAATATTTTTACTGTCCTACGTGTCATTCAGAGGAGAAATTTTGCCCTCAGAACCGACCTTTTTATGTAGCACCAACTAAATACACATTTTCATCTAAGTGGAGATACTTCGTTAGAAATAAATGTGCTTGTAAGCATTTGGAAGTGTAAAGGTGATATTTATAAAGTGACCAGAACACCCACCACGCACTGTATAAGCCAGTGAAAATAACAGCTGCTGAGTTTTATCAGCTTTAGAGCACCACAGGAGCAGCACAGAGCATGGTTCAACTGTGATGTGTCAGTGCTGAGCACAGCTGACTGATGTGCTGCTGTAGCTAAAGACAGGGTAATCGTATAGAGACTGTAAGTATGATGATAAAACGAGTCACAGTGTTATGGTTTTTCAAATGTTTTCTCCTAATCTCCACATCTGTAGTGTGTTTATGAGAATAAAAGCGGTGGAAATTCCTGCAGGTCAAAATAACTTTATTCTTAAGAGTATACCTAGGGTGTTGTCTTCCCTCCATCCCAGTGGTAAACATGTTGATGTTGGAGTAGAGGAAGGGCTGGTATTTTTCCTGGATGAATGAAGTACAGCTTTATCATTCTGCATTAACTCTTTGGGGTGCTGTGTATACATTTTTAAGCTAGTATGTTGTGTTCTGATTATTTCATTTTTATTTCTGAAACCACTAAGAACCTTATGTAAAATTGGGGGGGGGCGGGGGCGTGCCGGGCGGCAGGGGGGGGGGTCGGGGGGGAAGAAAGTGGGAATCTGATAAGAACTGAAGAAAATATAATTAATTACCTGAAATGACAGTTTTGTTCTTGAAAGAGCTGCCACCATACAATAACTTCATTAATATTTTATTTATTTTCTAGGACCTTGAAATACAATTTGCCTTTCCTTGAGGGCAATTTCAGACAAGTTAATTTAGCCTGCATTTCAATGAAAGTACAAGCCTGTACAAAATGGCATGGGTGCTGGAAGACGTAGTCCCACCTATCCCCAGTATTGCCTTGCCCACTTCTGCACTGCCTCATCCATCATATCTGTGCACTGAACTGGAGTGAGATGATGATCTAGGCTTAAATTTACCCAGAAAAAAAAAAAAAAAGTCTCCAGATGGATTTCTTCCCCATGGAAGCTTGTTTTTGCAGATATACAGCTGCTGTGCTTGCACAGAGGAGGGATGCTGAGGCAGGCACAAGCGGTAGGGGATGGGGCATCATTTTTCTTAGCAATACACATGCCAATTTATAATGTTCATCAGAGTGTTGCCACAACTAACCAAACAGTAGCAGTATTTATTTTTGCCAGGAACAAATGGAAATATTTATTTAAAACCATGAATAAATATAGTCCTGTATCTTTAGAAGTAGGGATATAAGAACGGTATAAGTTCTAGAAATCTAAATATACATTTTGTGGCATGAAGGGAGTTGCTACAGGCTTAGTCTCACCTGGGCTATAGCTACAGCTTGCAGATGTGCTGAAGGATGGTTCATGTGTTAAAAGTAAGTGACTCATAATTGGATCTTCTGGGAAACATTATGGGTTACCTAAATTCAGAAAGGAGTTCAGAGGGAGGAAACCAAGCTTAAAAGAGCTGCGAGACTCAATCTTGTGCTGCATGCAGGATATCAGGTGGCAGGAGCAGGAACTGGCTCTGACCAGAGTGGCTGGAAATGAGCCTGTCTTGGTAGGGGCAGATCTGCAAGGCTCCCAGCAAGGACGTGAGCTGGCGAGGAAGATGAGAGAGTCCCTGGATAATTTTGAACTTTTCATTAATGAACCTGGCTTCCAGGCGGAACGTTCTTGGGAAAACAGGAAAGGAAAGAGGTTGAAGTAGAGCCAAAATTTAGACTGGGTGAACAGCAGGATTCATAAATCTGTGTGCAGTTTTTACCCACTCTTGCAGAACCCGTCATGAAAGAAAGTGAAAATTTTGTGTTTGAAAATCTACACAACAATGTGTGAGCTGTTTACATGGGTGCATGCTCAGCTGAGTGTCTGAACGAGAGACTGAGTGTTGGTTCAAGAGTTACTGGCTGCAGACAGCTGTTTACACTGAAGGAGAAAAATGGCATACAAATGTCCTAGCATTGAAGAAAAGGTCAGGTCAGATGGATAAGAATCATGTTCATCCAACAAAAGAGGCTGAGACAGGCCTTCAGAGTAAGATGTGGTAGCAACAAATAAGACCACTAATAAATCTGTTTTCAGTATTGTGCCCCTGCTTGCTGTTTATGCATGTGGGCTGGGTAAATGGCCTACTGAGTACATATGTAGCAGCAGATCCCTTTTAGCTTCCATCCAGCTTTTAGCTGGATGATGTTAAAAAACACCAGCCTGTGTTTTCCATTTTGTCAATGGAGAGACAAGCAACTTCACAGGGTGGCATGCTTTGTAGTAAAACTGACACAAAGCTCCCTATGAATGATGTTGCTAGATGAACTGCTTAGGCCAGGCACTTCTTTTCTAGATGGCTGAGGCCAGGTGGGTGAAGCTACTTTTCTACAGTTTCTTTTGAAACTGTAGAGCTTTCAAAATACAAAACTGATGTCCAAGAAGCGGAATGTAATTTGAAGTCACTAATACTGATCTATAAATATGTTTCCATCTTTCCAAAATTATTTATTCCTGGATCCACACATCTTCCACATTTATGATGGCAGCTCCCACTAGATTTGACCAAGAGGTATTGTTTTGCCATTGACACTCCCACGATACATGAGTTCATCGGAGTCCGCTGTTTGAATCAAGCATATGAGGGGCCAATTCATTGAGCACAATTTATTCCAGATCTTTGCAGAAATATACGATGCTCTTGAGTCTGTACAGATGTCTAGCCAATAGGGAGCTGTCTGGCTACACAGGTTTTTTATATATTTTTCAACTAAATCAGAAATCCAAATGCAAAAGTCAGCACTTGGGGATGTCTACATGGATTTGTGACTCTCCTGCCTGAATTCTGAGGTTATAAACCAACGAAGGGATTAAACTCATATGTACATTTTTCTTCTTTATGTGACAGACCTAAGATGAATAATATTGTTCATTTACAGAATCATAGAACATTTAAATGGGAAAGGCTTCTTCAAATTGTTGAAGTAAAATCCTGGCCCAATTGAAGGTGGCTTCAGGCTGGTTTTGATGGTACTCTGTGTCACCATTCTTCACAGGTGGATATCGCTTCTGCTCATTCTGATAGCTTGCCAAGTGCATTTTACAGGGCCTGGTTCACTCCTGTCTAAAAAAACACAGAAGCAGAACATATAATGGCAGTCCTGAGGCATCTACCAACACAAAGTAAAGGTATTTAATACAACTGTTAATGTAACTCATTTTATTCTGTCCTTTCAGAAAGCCACGTGTGAAAGAAATGCAGTCTGGAAGAGGAAAGAAAAATGAAGTTGTTAGTAGCTAGTGCACAAATGGTGTCTGTTTGAGCCCACAGAAATGGGTTCAGTGAAGACAGCATGTGTACACAGACATTCAGCTCCTGAATCCCATCACACCCATCTCTCTGACCCCAGTGCTTCCCTCCTGAGAACTGAAAACCAAAACCACCAACAGCTCATCAGATGCTAAGCCAAATGCACGTGGGCTGTGTCACACCTGCTGCAGATCCCTCCTCCCAGAAGCAGGGAGGTGGCAGATCCTCACTGGGCACATCCTGGTGAAGTGGGAACTTTAACAGTGAGGATGTGACTGTAGACCTGACCTTCTGGACCAGCAGGATCCTGATAGATGGCTGACTATACTTGGGATCACAGCTTCAGGCAGAGGGAAATGTTGAATTACTATCCCCTTGCATCCTTATTCCTGCTACCGGCAATTTTCTGTGAGCTGGGAGGGCAGCACAGCACATTCAGCAAGTAGTGCTCTCCCTATCCATGCACAAACAGTACAGTTCACACTCAGCAGTGATGTGGAACATTTGGCCCAATGTGATGTCCTTCTTGCCTGCAAATGTGAATTGCTGGCAGCAGACACAAGCTGAACAATTCCATCTCTTGAATATTTGCTAAGGAAAGGAGGACAATGACTGAGCTCCAGTTCTGGACCCTTGGTTAAACTTGGCTTTTTCTCTCTCTAGCTCTATGATGGCCCTTCTCTACAAGACAGTGCCCAAGCATAGTTTTGAACAAACCTATGCTAGCTTTGCTTGTCTCCTTACACTATTTACTAATGGTATTCCAGCAGGCTTTGCACCCCCAAACACCTCTACATGCTTGTATTACCTAGTTCAGGACATGAAACATGGACCTCAACGTCTTGTTGTAAAGCATAACTCTGGTGGGATACAGCCTTGGCTTTGCAGCATTTCAGAAACTTTGTGAAGAAAAGGTTACAAAGAACAATAATGACACCTGAGGGCAAGGAGTATAACCTGAGGCTTATTCAAGCCATGGTGGTATGACTGGGCTTTTTTTTTTATTTGGGCCCCTCACTGCAAGAAAGATATTGAGGCCCTGGAACGTGTTCAAAGAAGGGCAACAAAGCTGGTGAGGGGTCTGGAACACAGGCCATATGAGGAGAGGCTGAAGGAGCTGGGAATGTTCAGCCTGGAGAAGAGGAGGCTCAGGGGAGACCTTATTGCTCTCTATAACTTCCTGAAGGGAGGTTGTAGTGAGCTGGGGGTCGGCCTCTTCTCTCGTGTCATTAGTGATAGGACCAGGGGGAATGGTTTCAAGCTACGGCAGAGGAGATTCAGGCTGGACATGAGGAAGTATTACTTTTCAGAAAGGGTGGTCAGGCACTGGAATGGACTGCCCAGGGAGGTGGTGGAATCACCGACCCTGGGGGTGTTCAAGGAAAGACTGGATGTTGCGTTGAGGGACATGGTTTAGTAGGAGCTATTGGGAATAGGTGAACGGTTGGACTGGGTGATCTTTTAGGTCTTTTCCAACCTTAGTGATTCTATGATTCTATGATTCTATGATTCTATGACTGCAGTTTGCTTGGGAGAAGGCTCCTGTCATGCAGTGAAGATGAAAGTCAAATGGTATCTACTAAATGGACAGTTAGACCCTGTGCTGGATCCACATTGACAGATACTGGAAAAGACAGCATCTGTTCCATCTATCAGGTTATGCCTTGGCATTCCTTTCACCCGGGTGATGCTGGTGACCAGAGCATAGGGCCATGGAAATTGACCATCCCATGATGGAGAAGCTCTGGAAGAGTCCCTGAGCTCCAGGGTCCCACCACTGCCTAATCAGAGAAGAAAGAAGGCTGAATCTTGTACAAATGGCTGGAAGAATCCAGGCATAAATAGTGCCAGCTTGGGAGAAATGCCTTATACTTGCAGTTAGTTTTTCAGTGTAGGAAGAAGTGATGACAACCTACTTGCTTCCCTCCAAATCCGTCTGTCATCCAGTCCTGGGAGAGGACTGCGATCTCTACATGGGGCACACTATATTTTAAATCCAATTATAATATGGCTCAGCCTCTTTCCTATAGCTTATTCTGAAGCATGAACACAATTAGACAGCAACTGCGTTTAACAGCCATAACCATAAACTTGATGGTTTGCATAATTTAGATGGGAGTTTCCTCAGAGATTTACTGTAAATGCTGAAGTTCAGGCTTTTCTATTTTCCCCTTTCTCTTTTTTTTCCAAAGGCAAAAAGAAAGCTCTGCAGCAATTTTGTAAAAGGTGTAAAAATAAAGGTAATTTCTCTAGAAAGAGAGGACCGTGTGTTGCACGATCTTATCTTTCAAACATCGTTGTGGGTGGTTATTATGCAGCTTTGAAGTAAGAGCCTGCAGCCTACAGGATTTGGCTTACATTGTCCACATACAACTTCCCCCACATCCAGTGTTACCTGCTTTCACATTGCATTTTTCAGTAAAATGCATGACTCTGTGTGCAATTTGTAGCATGCCTCACCATACAGTCCCTCAAGTGGAAAACAAAAAGTCTCCATTACTGACAGCTTCCTGGTGCTTGCTGTAGGTGACTTGGTTTTTAATGTCATTATGTTTTTAATGTTTTCCTTAATGCTGAAATTTAGACAAAACATAATGACTTCTTATTACAGCATTATGCCTAAAAAGGATCAAGCTCTATTAGTAGTAACAGAGTTGTACAACACCTACGCCTGTTCTGGTCCTGTTAATATGGGCAAGATATTATCATTTTCTTAAATAGTTGGAGGAGGTGGTTAGTTTTCCTATGCAGATCTTCATTCACATATGTTTGAAGTTGTAATGGGCTATTGGACCTTTCACAATGAATCCTCTGTATCTTCACTCACCTGAACGCCCTGTGGTCAAACTGAAAGTTAGCTGGAAGAAGTAAAAAGTCCCAGGCTGTACTTTTCTACTTTCCATTACAGGAAGAAAAAGAAAAGGAAAAAAAAAAAAAAAAAAAAGTCAGTCTCTGGCAGGCTTCATTTGAACCATTGCAAATTTTACTTACCTATAGATTCATACCATGTGGTGGGTTATTTAGAGTTTATATTAAGGATGGTTGTACTTACTCAATGCAAGAACATTTGTAAAAAAGACATGCACTGGATACAATATCCAGTCTATCTCTTCCCAAGCAGAAAAAACTTGCTGAAATCTTCCCCACAGCCCTCCCCAAAGAACTGGGACCCTGTCCAGGTATCTGTATACTTTTGCTCTGAATTTTCCATCCAGAGCTCGTGAAATGTATGTAAAGTTAATTCTGTAGATCGTTCACATGGCAGAGCCTAAGCTAGTTGCACAGGGCTCCCAAACCAGATCAGGCAGTTAGTGAAGCAGGTAAATGGGAAACCAGGCAGACTGCTGCAGCACAACAGCCAGATGCACACCACATTCATCTCACTTCACCTTTGCCTTCCACAGAGCGTGCCCCAGTGAATGAGTTCCAGTTCCGGGCCTCAGAGAGGTTGTAAAGGGATGGCTGGGTCAGCTGCACCCTCCAAGGACAGTGGGATGCTGCAAAGCATCCAAAGACATCCACACAGAGCTGACAGATGAGCAGAGCAGTGCCTGTGTGGGACAGCAACTGGAAGCCAGGTGAGGTACAGCCTCACATCTCAGACAGCACAGCATGGCTGCACTTTGGCAACGTTGTCTTAAAGAACTAATAATTAAATGCTCTGTGTGAGTTTAAAAAATCTCTCAAACTAACTAACTAAAAGCCCTCAAATTAAATATTTCCTTAAAATTTCCCCAAAACTGTGATTTCCAGTGGAAAAATGTTAGTTTTGTAGAGAGTCCCTTTCTTGTGTGGAAGATCATTCCCAACAGAAAATTCCTAGCAATCTCTAGGCTTAGAAAGAGGCATTTTGTGGGTTTTTTTCTTTTTGTTATTTTGTTGGGTCTTTTTTTTCTTCAGTATCTAAGCCTCTGAAAAGTACAGGCTGGAGCTAGCATGGCTTTTTGTAGCACTTCATACTGGCTCATTTGTCTCATTGTTTATGTAGATAGGGGGCTGCTAAGAAGTCTTTTCTGGAACTTCCCATCTCAGATGTGTGGGATACTTTTTACTCCATTTTGAAATCAGAGCGAAGGGTTCTTTTTTGCTCTCTTTTCAGTTCTTATCATCATGCCAAAAGCTGTCTTGAATTATGCAGCTTTTGTAAAACTCCTTGAAATGTATTTATATAAGAAGAAACCGTAAAAATTGAAGTGAAAGGACTGAATCCTGCACTGCACTTGCCCTCCATTGACAAGGTACTTGTCAAAGGCTGAATGGCAGCATGTTAATAAGAGCAGAACAGTGATTAAATTACTCTTGAGAAGGGCTGAGGCACCTCTGGCAAGGAATACATCTTCCAACCATTCTGCCCTATAGATCCCATATGTGATGGTCGAGTGACATTTCATTCAGGACAATGACACAAAGACTCCTGACACAAATGGCACAAAGCTACTCCTGTAGCTCACAAGCATTTTTGCAGCAGTAATACCTGAGAAATTTGTACTCTGGTAAACAAAACATCTAGGATCTCCCCAGAGAGGACATATATTATAATTGCTCCAGAATTAAAATTTATCTTTTATAGCATCAGGGCCAGATCCACAATTTATGGAAGCAGACATGCATGTGGAGAGACTTATCCCACAGAAGGGACTGGGTCTGCAACTTGAGCCATTTCAGATATTCTTAACAAAGAGAGTTCTCACTTTAAGCTTCTCTGCATGAACTCATATACGAAACTTATAATATTGTTTTTGATAAACAATTTAATATTGCATGAGAAGTAATCAGGTAATACTTTGAGGAGTGGGCTTTTAGTCACATCTGACGTTCTGTTTATTCTGAAGAAACTAGGAAGTCATCTTTACTGGAGGTACTGTACATGAAACCATAAATGTGCAACAGCAGAGTTTGCACGGCTGGGAAAGCCCCAAAAATACATATACAGCTCTGCTTGGCTGCTCCTGGCCAGCCTGGCCTCCCCTCTCACCCTAAGCCAGTGTGTAAAGACTTTAAGTGACTTCAGCTGGGAAGGGAGAGCAGAACCAAAGAAGGCTGTGTGACTTCCCTGCCTTCCACATATCTCATCCCTATTGCAGACCTGCAGGACCACACCAGGGCAGAACTTGCACCCTCTGGTGTCTTCCTTTGTGCAGCAACAAAAAGCTTCGTCACTTCTTGCTGCTTCAGAAACAGAGGAGAAAACTTGGTCTCATGAACATGGCTTCCCTGATTTCTAAGATAGACACAATGCAACATTTGCAAAGAGTGTTCCTTCCTCCGGCCATCCAAGCATGTTGTCTGAGGGAATGTTTATATTTGGATACGTGAGATCAAAGAATTGGGCAAACAAAGGCTTCAACAGAAAAAAAAAAAAAATAGGAGACACTTGCAAGAGCCGAACACAGTTGAAAACACAATGAATACGAAGATAAATATAGGTTTCTGTGCAGCTGTATACACCAAGGAAGAGACCAGCTATGGATGCAATAGTTAAGCACAAAGGCAGAGTGCTGCAGACTACAAAGCATTTGCAAACCCATGTTCATCAGAGAGGGGTCTGCACAGGGCACTGCAAAACCTCTGCACTGAGAGTCTCAGCCAGCACACAGAAAGAACAGCACAAGTTCCCACTGTGCTCTGGAAGGACGTCAAGCAAGTCCAAAGGAACGCACGCTGCCAAGCCCAATGTGCTAGCTGAGGGCAAGAGCTAGCAGCTTGGGAACACTAAGCAGTACCAAGATGGCATGTGGAAGGGGATGAGCAACAAGCATTTGCATGCTGGCTCTTCCCCTGGTACCTTACGCAGTGCAAAGATGCAATGCAATTAAACATAAAATCACTTAGGAGAAGAATCCCTCCCAAACTCCTACACAGACTGCACCATACCTCAACTACCTCTGAAGTTACACTACTGTGTTCATTCTGAAAACTAGCATAGCAATTTTATTCTATTTTTTTAAATTCTACTTTAATCTAGCATTAGATTAGAAAAAGAGAGAAAAAAATGCCTGAATTCATGCATTCCCAAGCTCATACAGGACAGAAATAAACAATGTTTACCAGAACTCCTGTTGCAGACTGCAGTAGCTGTGTTCACAGAGCAAAGCAAAGGAAATGAAGGAACTGAGAGCACACAGGTTTGCTGAGAAATAATTGCCCAAGATAATGCACAGCACAGCAAATAAAGCATGTTGAACTGAGATATACACAAAAAATAAGATGAGCAGGAAACAGAGGAATGGACATATTGCAGGTATTGTGTTTCCCAGTGCAGGACCCCTTACAGGTCACGCACCCAGGGGCTATGTGCTCTTCAAGAATCTGCCTTGACACTGATGGTTCTTATCTACGTGCTGCTGGGATGTCTGGTGGTTCTGGTTTGCAGTTCATAAAAGCAGGAATGCTGAGAGCAACATTTTATTCGTAACCTATCGCGTTCCTGTTTTCCCACTGAAAAAGCCTAAGTCATTTTAGTGAGGGAAATTGCAATGTTGAATCTTCTTTGTGCACTTTCACTATCTTTTCTTATTGTTTCTTTCAAACATCTTCTGTTACATGAAGTATTGTGAAAAATATCAAGATAATAAAATTTAACAAATGTTATGAAATGATCAGATAGTAAATACAATGAACATACAGCTAAGCATTGGTTAAATTGTACTGAAGGCCTGGAAAATGTATGAGAGAAGCTTAAATTCTGATTATTTCAGTCTGAGTTTAGCTAGTCTGCTCTACAGATTCACTGAGTCCAGGTTTATACAGCACAACCACCTAATCATGCCCTTTGAAACGTAATGGGTATGGGATAACTGCTTCCCTAGTAATGATGGGTGATGAACACTGTTCTTTAACACAGTGTTCACTGTGTTCAAAACACTTTTATTTTTTATTTATTTACTTTTTTCTGATGCCTCTTGACTTGCCACTCAATGTAGGATATGGCTCTTATTGATGTCTATATGTCGTGCAAGACTTGCTGAACCATAGAACAGCCCAGGCTGGAATGGAAGTTGAAAGATCATCAGGGACTGATGAGATTATTTGGCACCCTGTCCTATTGCATCTTGTATGCCTTCAGTGATGGGGTTTCTGGTGTGCCCCTGGGATTGTCTCAGTGGTGGATTGTTTCATACTATACAATCCCACTGTACTCAGCTGAAACCTATTCAGGGCATTCAATGGAGCTCATCCAGGTGCCTAAGCATAGGGATCTAGTTGAGATTCCCTAGTTCCCCTAGGAGTGTACTGGTTTGGGCTGGCATAGAGCCAATTTACACATGATGAGTCCTGCTTTCCTAAATGTGGCTGAACATCTGCCTACCTATGGAAAACAGAGAATGACTTGCTGACTTCATCTCAACTCATGAGTTTTACTAGTTTTACCCTTCTGGTTCTCTTCCCCATTCCATACAGGGTGAGTAAATGAGTGGCTGTGTGAAGCTGAGCTGCCCCTGGTTTAGCCCACTAGAAGATTGTTTTTCTGTGTTTCAGCAACTCAATAGAGCCCAGTTGTTTCTGGTTTCGACTTTATTCCAATCTGAAAAATTGTACTTTCAAGAGTATAATGTCATCAAGTCCCACAGACCTAGTTCTGGCATGTAGGATAATTCAGGAGGGGCTGCACAGAGGTTTTAAAAAGGGTAATGATACTCTGGGCTGTGGAATAGGGAGTATGGATATCTACATCCAGAAAAAGAAACAGAAATCACACTATTCCTTCAGATTAAATGCTGCTGTAGTGCCAAAGCACTTCAAAGGGGGTTTGGACTAGGCAATCATAGAGCCTCCAGACATCTCTTTCAACCAACATCTCTGTGAACCTATGGACCTGGTTTACCCAGTTCTAAGCTACAGAGCATCTTTCTAATCCCTTTATTAAGTCTGCTATGTTCTTGAGTTGAACCAGAAACCAGTACTTATGTTTTACAGGACATTTCTGTGTGAGTCTGACTTGATTCATCCATTCCCCAGGCCAGTTCCATATATATAAAGGGTACAGCAGGCACTCTGTGCCACATGACCACCAGTGTCCCAACTATTCTTTAACTGTGCCAAAATATATGGAGTCTTACATCAAGAAAATGCTTAACCTCATTGTTTTAATGATAAGTTGTGTGGACTTAAAACTGAGAATATGTTTAAGTGGTTTTCAGAACAGCAAAAATAAAGGAAAAAGTAAGCCTTTTCCTTTTTTTCCATCAGACCAACACACTTGTTCTGTGCTCCGCAAAGCCTTCCCAATTGTGACCATTTATTGAATTCACATACCTTGTGGCATGTTTGAACTGCTAGGGAGCCTGAAGGTGGCCCAAGGTACTAAAGAGGGGGACAAAGATATGAGTTGAGAACAAAGTTGCAGCCGTTCCCACTGCCTCACTGCTAGCTCCTTCTCTGCTTCAGCTCCAAGTCAGTGAGAGAGACATCAGTTGCAAGCAGGTTAAATGGGGCACAGATGGAACCTTACCCTTCCTGTAATGAGAACGGCTGCATCAGCAGTAATGCAACAGAAATGCCCAGAATAGGAGAATTATATTTCAGTTCTTCTTTTCATCTGATAAATTAATTGCAGAACAGAATGAAATTAGTGGACATAACTGAGCAGACATCCAGCTTTATACTTGTCTTTATAATATCTGATAACTGCATATTTTTTGGAGAACGCTGTGTTGGATTCTCAGTTGGCTCATTCATTGCACAAGTATCTATTAGATTTCCAACCACTGAGATTTATTTCTTTTCATTAGAAGTCCACATTATTATTTATATGGTCAAGAACATAAGTAATGTTGGAAAAAATAAGTATTAAATTCTAAGAAAAAATATTCAAGTCAATAATAACAGAAGAAAAGAAAAATATATTCTATGTATTAAAAATGAAAACAATTGTTATAAATATAATGGTCTTAAATGTTTGCTTTTATGTGACAGATGTTTTTAACAAAATGTCTGTGTTGGCAGTTTGAGCACACTTATGATTTTAATTTGTGTAATATTCCCTTTTAGTATTGATGTCTATTTACAACATCTGTGAAGGGTCTGTAACCTGAATGTGACAGGGAAAAAATAACAGGCTGCTATTGGAATCTTTCCACTGGGTCCACGTAACAGACTATTAACAAAAATCTTAAATAGCTTTTCTAATCATCAACAGCAATCTTACACAAATTATATCAGACCCAGAGGACCTGATTAACTTTAAAATGCCTTGCAGACTCAAAGCATAAATTTTGCTCCTCCTGCCCTCCTCTGTGGAATCAAAATGGGACTGTGTAACATACATCAGTTCAGCTGGGCACACACAGAATCAGGATACGAGTCAGGCTGACAGCAGGGGTTCCTCTTCTATGGAAAGGAACATGCATTTCTGAGTACTGAAATTAAATGTAGGTTTTTTTTTTTTTTTTTTTTTTTTTCCTTCACTCTGTTGCTCTGTAATTTCCATCCTGCAATGACTCTTTTTAGCAGCTGGAGCTGGACAAATCTCTGGCATGGGAGGCATTAACGTGTCAGTGCAGTGCTGTCATTATGGGGATGCCGCTAACAGAGGCAGACGGAGGCTCTGCCAGAGGAGAGCCACGTCTTACTTACCAGGACAGTTTCTGAGCACATACTTTGCTCGCAGGGAAGCGTAAATGAGAGAACACGAACCGTCCTTTGCTATTAATTGATTGATATTTGCACCAAAATTTGAAACACTGACTATTATTGTTATGTCCCAGAGGCCTTATCCAGAGACTTGTGCTTGTTCACTCCTTCTAAATCAGAAGCCAAGATTCTCCCCACCTTTTGCCACTTAGGTCCTGTCTTCCCTTCCCCTCCCACACATACCCTTTGTTTGACCCCATCAATACTACAATAACTATTTAATTAACAACAGTTGTTAAATTTGTTTATGGACTGACCTTAAAATGCAGTTTAGCTGGCCAGTTACAATGGAGCCAAATTGTTTTATATCTAAGTTAAGAAAAAAGCCTAGGTAGAGCAAAATTTTAATCTAAAATAATAATTAAAAAGTTGTTAGCTTTTGTTTATCATTTTATGTGCATTGAATGTGGAAATCCTATGAGGCAAAACTAAGACATTACCCTAATGGTTGTTACAATTCTGTATAATTTAAGACTCCATATTGCACAAATAATATGGATGTTTTCCATACTACTTAGGTTTTCCTCCTTTTCAGAAACTCATAAATGGTTTCAGTCCTTCAGTCCTTCTTTGGTACCTCAGTGACAACACCTCTCTGAGTCCAGAATGCTTCCCTAAGCATTCTGCTGCATAAGCAAAACTGACATTAACATTTTTATTCCATCTCTCTGAAGCAAAATGCAGAGCTAAAGACAGATTACGGCACACTCTGATAGTGTCTGCACATCAGAGAAGAACCTCATGGTGTGTGAATGGAAGAAGCTGAAGAAGCTCACCTGCTTCCTTCTGATACGCTGGTTACTGGCAATGGGGAGAACTGGTCTTCATCATCCCAGTGTCACAGGAACAGGTAGAGATCCTTAAGCACTTTTCATGAACACTTACCCTGGCCAAACCTGTACTCACTTAACTTTAAAAAATAATAATAATAATAAAAAAGCCACAATACCAGCATATTTCTTTTGTCTGTACATCTGAAAATGAAATGTGAGACTTCCTCCACTTCCCATTCATGTTTGCATTTGAGCTAGCACAGCATAGGATATGCCATCAGGGCATCCCCTCACCTCAGCTTCACCCCAACAGAGCACAGAGGGACAAAACTGCACTTCAAAAAGTAATCTTCTTATCCAGATGTGAAAAACAAGTTCAGCTTAAAATCAGTCTGATTTTTGTGCATTTACTCAGCCTAATTTTTACTTTATTTGAACTTACTTTATATTTGCTAATGTCTTTTTGAACTAGCTGTTTTTGTGCTCTTCTTGTATAATGAGCTGTATGTGTTCCAGAACAGTTGAGTTAAAACAATGGATCTCTGCTGAATGTAAGTATCACACAAAAATTAAAAATATATTTGGGAGAAAGACTGAGGAATCACATCAACCACCAATGCAGGTAGATTCAAAAGACTTAAGAATATTAATAAACAATCAAATTGTTCAAATGGTCTTGAACAGCTTTTCTACAGAAGTTTGTGGTCAAAATATTTTAAGTCTGTTCAATTCACTTACAACATGTGCAGCAGAATTAGTTTTCCCATACCTGAAATGAAATAGTAAACTGAGCTTTTCTATGTTTCTTGAATTAAAATTCTTTGAAGCAGACAAGTTTTGGACTGTTATTCACTTATTTATAATAAAAGTTTTAATTGAACTAAATGAAAACGTATTCTTTGCTGTATTTTTCATTATCTATATAATACTAAAGTAGATAAATCACTATATTAAATAAACATGTCCCCTAATTTTTCTGCCTGTCTCCCCATAATTTTTCAACCAGGCATTCCTCCTCTTCAGTTCTCTTTTCCTAACCCTTATGGCCAGTTTCAGTCAGATTAGGAAGCATAAGGCTCAAACTAGAATCTTATCTTAGGTTCCTAACTTGAACAACAAAATCAGACAACTGGAGAAACTCTCCGAGAACAAGGTTTCCCTCCACCGTCAGCAAAGGTAGATCATTGGAATTCCCTAAAGGCAGACCTTGCCCACCAAATTAGTTGTCTAGTCTTAGAGATAAAAACAGTGTTGTTTGTGGAGGACAGAAGTGCTGCAAGCAGAGTGGCTCACTAGCCTCCTTAAATTTAAGCTCAGTTAGGTCTCTAGGTTAGGCAGCCTTGATTCCATCTTAACTGTCTATAGAACAATGAAGATTTGCTGGATGACAGAGCTCCTGAGACCATTTGTCCCCTCTGAGATGGGGACGTGCTGAGCTCAGCTATCACAATTGTCTGCCCAGCTGTGGCCAAGGGGCTCAATGCACCACGGAGAACAGGACAGGAAAGCTGGAATTGTTATGGTGCAGAGCTGAAACGAAGAGATAAGACAAGAAATAATTTGTTCCTTTCAGGATTTATTTGTGCTCATTAGTTCTTCTGCTCACAAAACAATTTCTTCAAGTATGTCAGTTACTTTTACTTATACTTTCAAATACCAAATGCATTCCATGTACAACTGTGCAGGAGTAACAGTTAAGTCTGTCCTTACTGTACCAAATGCAAATCCTGTAGTAAAGGAACATATCTTTTGTGGGAGGATTTGCTGATATTGAGTCCAACTGTCTAACTCTTACAGGAACAACCACTGCACTGATTCTTGCTTACATTTTTAATCTTTCTCTGGCTCTTGGCCATTTCCTAAATAAATGGAACATGCCTGTATTGTTCCATCCAGCAGACAAATGATAAAAAGTCTGTTTCGGACCATAGGCAAGTCAGCCTTCGCTGGTCATTTCTAAAGATATGGAATAAATACAGCTCTCTCTAAGTTTAGTCCTACTCTTTCACATTTTGAATCAATTTACACTCTTACTTTGTAATCAGTTTGGTTGCCTCCCAAATCCAGTAAAGCGGATACTTTATTGCCAATTCTTCATTTCTGGTATGATGTTTTGATAAGGGCTATGTCAAAGACAACACTTATTGACCTGTACAGAATTTTTGGTACAGTGTCTCACATAGGCTCTTTGTTAAATAAAGCAGTGGATGATACATATACCTTCACAATTATTTTTTCTAATGATGTCCATTTTGAAGGTTACAAAATACCACTAATGTTGTTTCAAATAACAAGGACTCAGCCTTCTAGACTTTCCCTTAACTAAGTACTTGGCTGAAATCAATTTTTACATATATTAGCATTATAATCTCTTTGCAGCACTCACAATATAATGGATTTACTCACTTTAGTAAAGATGCAGCATAAGCCAGAGTATAATTCACTGAGAATTCAAAGATTTCCAGCCTGATTTAAAAGTAATCTCAAAATGTAGCTAGTTTCAACATGATTAACACATACAGCAAGCTAAAGTCACCAAATACCTAATTACTATTAAGAATCATTCTGCACATTGATTCAGAAGACTTTTAAAAGATAAATGAAAAACTGTTCTCTAATGAAAAGCTTTAATGGTATGAGAGCTGCAACTACTGATTCAGAATCAATTGAAAGCCTGAAATACTAAGTTCAGTATGCCTGATTTTTTTCCCCCATGGAAAATACCCTTTTTTCATCCTATGAAAATCGTGTTGTCAGAAAAATATTGTAATTTGTTATGGATTATTGCATGACTCTCCACTCACTTGGAGCTGGAGCAACAGCTCTGTCCAGGCTGTCAGTCTGGGCAAATGGCCACGGTGCATGACCAGTAGCCACACTCCTAGGCAGTTGCTGAACAGTCTATTTGCATACATTACAGATGCAGATGCACAGTGTGCTTTCTGCATGTGCAGTACGCCTTGCACTTTCAGAAACATCAGGCTCACAGGGCATGAATCGACCATCTCTATGTACCCACCAGCCACAACTCCACGGTACAGATGAGCCACATAAGACTTATTTGAATACTGACCTCATGTGCTCACTTGCTGCAGATCTCATTAGCAAAAATTCTCACTGGCCACATCATGATGCACATACTGAACGATGGCTATGTCTATACTGGTAACTAACCCAGGCAAGAGCCCCTTCCCTGTTTCCAAAAGAAGAAACAGCTGTATGTATCTGGAGAATCATAGAGTGGTTTGGGTTGGAAGGGACCTTTAAGACCATCTAGTTCCAACCTCCTGCTATAGGCAGAGACACCC